AGGAATATTAACACCCAGTGAACGAGGAGTCTCAAGTTATTCCCCAATGCCAAGTGGTGAATTTCCCATATAACTTACATTTACTCCCAAAGCTAAGGTAAAGTCATCTCTTGGGCCCTACAGATGGAATTTACTTCGCTAAAAGATTTTCTGGTTCCCAAGCAATACTACCAATTTGTTCATTTGTTTTAGCTAGTCTGGCACAAAGTGAAGGCTCGTATACATTTGTTGAGTGAATAAAAGATAGGACTGAAAGAAAGACGCAGCAAAACAGTGACAGACACTGACCTCACACACACTGCTCTACTACAGAAACGGTCTCTTAAAGTGCTTAGATCTTCCTCCTCAAATAACACTCTCTCTACATTACGTAGTTTTAAAAACTATTCAGTAAGTATGAGAGCACAAAACACAGACAAATATAGTGACTATAAATGCTAAAAGACTACTTCTCAAATATTCAGGCTCATTTTCTATAGTGCTTTAGCACTTTAAGGCAGAAAGCTGCTAGCACATGCTTCTTTCCTGTGACAGAATTCTGAGTGATTAGATTAAAAGCTAGTTTGACCCTTTTGTAGAAATACTTGATTCTAGGATAGGACAGGTAAAGTACAAGGTGAGGCCTAAAGCATCTTGTTAGCCATAAAGCCCTCAAGGAATAAAGAGGAACTGCCAAAATGACATGAGAGAGTCCCTGAAGAACTTCTCACTGGCCAAACTTGGACCACTTAGAGTATCAAAACAAGTCATGACGGTAAAGAATTATAATTCATCAAATTCTGTAAGAATCCCTGAATGTGCGTGAAAATAATATAAATAAACGAAAATAAAAAATGATTTTGAAATTTGGGAGAAGAGGGAACACGTTCTGGCAGGAGAAAGCCAACAAACAAATGTGCCGAGTAGTGACGGAATTGGGAAAATCACCATTTGGCAACAATCACAATAGTAACAGATTCAGGCCAGACATTTAGGGATGCTAAAACCATCGGGTACAAGGTGAGGACTAACAGGCTCTTTGCAGAGTATCAATGTACCTTCCCCAAGATACACATCGATTACAAAGGAAAACAATAGTAACTTTCCAGTGGAGAAACCAGGCAGACACCACCTGAACCGAGTGACCAAAGTCAACTGCACCACCAAGGTGACATCGTGTGTCTTCTGATACGATACTGGAGAAGGACACACCATCACTTTGACATTCTTGTCAAAGGCACCTATCCTAAATCTACTCCTAACGGAAACATCAACCAAATCTAAACTGAGAAATAGTCTATAAAATAACCTGACCTGCATTTCTGAAAAATGTCAATGTCATGTTAGAAGAAGAAAGATGAAGAAATGTCCAGAGTAAAGGAGAAGGAAGAGATGGACCATGAAATGCAACGCATGATCCAGGATGTCCTATTGCTGTGAATGGCATTATTAGAACTGGTGAGATCTAAAAAGATCTGTATATTATACAACAGAACAGCATAATTATAGGTGTTTATGTAAAATAATGTTATTTCAGTAAATATACACCGACATATACTTAGGCAGAAAGCACATTCTATCTTCAACTTACTGTAAGTAACAATGTAATAAATGCTAACAATATACAAGAGTTCTTTGTACCGATCTTGCAAATTTTTTAAGACTGAAGTTACATCAAAATAAAGAAGGAAAAAAGAGTGCCTCTAGATATCCATGCGTAATTATTTTTTCAGAAGTTAGTCTGTACAAATATTCATACCTGTTCATAATAAATTTAGCTTGACGTTTCTGTTTGATCTCTTCAACTCTTTTCATTGCATCAACTATAACAAAAAATTCATCAAGGTTAGTAAATAAATGTACTTTAAACTGGTATGATTATAATCAACAAGTGCTTTAACAAACACTTCTTTACATTTCTGATTTAGAAATGAATTTAAATGACCAAAAACCCCTCCAAGATCAATCCCTATTGAAAAAGCAAAGGAAGATATTACTCTTGGCTGACATCACAGTCAACTTTCATAAATATAATTTTTCTAACATTTATTTTGCAAAAGCCTTTATTGCTGTCATATGAGGGGACTTCAAAAAGTCTGTGAAAAAAAGAAATTAAAGTGCAAGTTTACTTTGATGCAAAAAAATCTTGAAATCCATGCAGATTTTTCATGATACGCATTTTCCATTCACTTTTGGCAAACACTTCCTATCTCCCTTCTACTTTTAACCAGTCCAATGCTTTCCAATTTTTTTTCTACAAAGTATTATTATATTATTGGCAACTAATTTTGTTCTCAGCTTGTAATCTCCATGTACTTTTCTGAACATGAAATTTTCTTCAAGTACCTGGAATATGTTCAGCACATGATGAATATTGGTAGAATGAACCAATCAATCTACCGTCACTTTCTCAACCACTAAAATCCAACTGTTTCAGAAAAGGTATAAATGAGACTCAGTTATAAGGGAGCTGAGTCCAACTATATGCCCTAGACTGTATCAGAACTAGCCGATATAAAACAAACCACACACGTAATGTTTAATTTTCTACCTAGTTATAAAGGAATAGGTAGGGACCGGCAGATGGCATAGTAGTTACATCACTGTACTCCCACATGGCTGAACACTGAGGATCGGACCATGGTTTGAGTCCCAGACCCAGTGGCTTGAAAATCACACCAGGTGGACCAGCAGTTAGCGTAATGGCTATGTTGCTGGACTTCCACGTAGTCAAATGCAGTCCGAGTCCCGGACCTGGTGGCTTAAACTCACACCGGGCGCGTGTGCGTGCGTGCCCAAGATCCCGAGAGAAGAATGGAGGAGAAGGGATTGTGACGTGGCCATCCCCCTTGGGGGGTGATTTCTCGGTTTCTATCTCTCTGTCTGTCGGGCGGTCGCCCGCGTCCTATAGCAGAAACCCCCCCAAAAAAAAAAAAAAAAATCACACCAGGTGTGTGTGCATGCATGCCCAAGATCCCGGGAGGAAAATGGAGGAGAACAGATGGAGGTGTGGCCATCCTCCCAGGAGGTGATTTCTCACTGTCCCTCTCATTGTATCTGGCTGTTTCTCTCTCTCCAGTGAGCACACACACTCTAAGTCTAAAAAAAAAGGGAAAAAAAGGAACAGGTAGAAAATGTTTTATTTAACCCAACATATCCAAAACACTGTCATTTCTATATGTTATCAATATAAAATTAGTATCGCATTCCTTTTTTTCATGCTAAGTCTTTAAAATCCAGCATGTATTTTACATTGACAATACATCTCAATTCCTAGTAGCCTCATTTTAAGTGCTCAGGAGCTCCTGGGGCAACTGGCAGCCACACTGCAAACCACGACTTCCTACTCAGCTCCTGAAAGTATACTCTGACTCAAGCATAACAGGGTCTTCAGTCTTAAAGTATCTCCCATGATATACTTATTAGTTACAGAAAATAAAACAGTACTTTCCAGTGGAGAAACGTGACAGGCACAGATTTAACCAAATGATGAAAGTTAACATCACCAGTAGTGGGGCTAACAGACAGCGCATGCCTCCTGACAGGACAGACTGCAAGAACTCAGTGTCACATCACAGTGTGGTGTTCTTGCCAAACACACTTTACATGAACCTAACCTTGAGGATGAATCAGACAAAACGCAGTTAAGAGATTTTATGCCAAACATTGGCCCATATTCTTTATGAAACTCTCAGTGTCCTGAAATATAAAGACACACTCAAGGGATGTTGAGAGAAAGAGAGACTAAAGAGAGAGACCATACTAGTCTTAAAACTTTTGCAATAAAGGATTTTATTGAAACAGATGAATCTGAGCATGCCTGAGACTAGGTCATAATATTGTGCCATTAATTTCCTAACTCGAGTAGCTGCAGTTACATGAGAGAATCTTCTGATTTTTAAAAATGTATATTAAACTATCTAGAGAATAAAAGAATATTATGGGGACCAGGAGTTAGCATAATGGTTATGTCGCTGGACTCCCATGTAGTAAACCATGGTTGGAGTCCTGGACCCGACGGCTTAAACTCACGTCGGGCATGTGTGCGTGCGTGCCTAAGATCCTGAGGGGAGAATGGAGAAGGGATTGCGGCGTGACCATCCCCACTGGGGGGTGATTTCTTGCTTTCTGTCTCTCTGTCTCTCTCTGTCTTTCTGGCGAGCGCACGTGCCCCATAGCAAAAACCTCTCAAAAAAAAACAAAACAAAAAAAGAATATTGTGCATACTTAAGTAGTTCAGAAGAAAAACTGAAGAAAAAAGGAAGGGAGAGAGAAGAGAGAGAAGAAAAGTTACTTTAATACAATCTTAGCATCTAGGGAACTAGATGAAGGATATCAAGAATTCTTGTTCTTAGAGTTTTTTGTTTGTTTGTTTTGTTTTGTTTTTTACTTAGGGCATGTGCGCTCACCAGGGGGAAAAAGAGAGAGAAACACAGTGAGAGGGAAAGTGAGAAATCAGCCCCCAAGCAGGATAGCCACTCCACAATCCCTTCTCCTCCATTCTCCTCCTGGAATCATGGGCACATATGCACATGCACCTGGCATGAGTTTCAAGCCACCAGGTCTGGGACTTGAACCAATCAGCCGTGTGGGAGTCCAGCAACGTAACAGCTACACCATCTGCTGGTCCCATCAAATCATTCTAATCCTGCAAATTTTCTGTTATAGTCTGAAATTATGTCAAAATAAAAACTAAAAACTGTAATCTGGAGACCAGTGGAGAGCTAGGAGCTTGTTAGAAATAGAGAATATTAGGCTCCACTCAGATCTGATATTAAAGTTCATATAAATAATTCTAAAAAAAAAGTCAACTATAGGCTCAGCTGCGGGAGCACACACTGGACACAGCTGCTCACCACGGAGGCCCAGGCAGCACTCCCAGCATGACAGCACGTGCCTGTAGTCCCAACTATTCAAGAGGTTGACGCAGGAGGATCATGACATAGGGAATCCCTATCTGAAACACATTATTGTGTGTACAGACTCGCACACACACGAAACTGTCAACTATAAATCTGCACATGCCATAGCTATGCATAACTGACAATATTCTGGATGTGCAAGATTAATTTTTCTTTGCCTTTCAGCCAAAACATTAAGGCCAAGTTTTAGGACTCAGAAACATTTCCACACCTTAAAAGTTATCCAGAAAGGAAATAAACACAAGTGACAGTTAAATCCTTTCAAAAAAAAACCCTACTGTTTTCTAAATATTCCCAAACACTGAATAATTTTAATTATTATTTTTTATTTTATTTATTTCATTTTTTTAAAATTTATTTTATAAGCAAGGAAGAAGGAGGAAGAAAAAGAGAGAGAGGCAAATGCTCAAAAGAGTCTTCTGTGATCCTTCCCCCAGCCCCAGCCAGGATCACAGGCATGGGTATGCACCCAGTGTGCACAAGGAGCTGCTGGGATACAAACCAGGGGACCCTCCCATATGCACTCATCGCAGTGTGTGTGTGTGTGTGTTTTAAGAACTATTTATTTAATTTTATTTATTCATTCACTTACCAGAGAGAAACATACAGAGAGAAAGAGAAGAGAGAGAAGGAAAATAAGCTACCAGGTCCAGGATTCAAACCATGGTCAGTCATGTTGGAGTGTCCAGCACCCTAAGCACCACACCACCTGCTGGTCCCCACAGAGTGTTGCTGACGCCAGCCAGAAGACCAAAATGTTCAAATGTGTATACCAGGCACACACTTGCCAATGATCACAATGCCAAGACTCTGTTAGGGCGCTTTCTTTATCTGTCTCTCTCAATCATGAAATAATTAAATCTTTAAAAAACATTTTTTAAAAACTGATCTATAGCACAGAGACACAAGAAATAAAATATAAACAGTTCTTCCTAATATTCCTGCTTCTGTTCTTCTGAAAACAGCATGAAATGGAGCCAGCAGGTGGCACAGTGGTTAAGGCGCTCAACATCCACATGGTCGACCACAGTTTAAGTCCCAGACTTGGAGACTTAAAACTCTCACTGGGTATGTGTGCAAGCACGCCCAAAATCCAAGAGGAAAATGAAGGAGAAGGGACTGTGGCATGGCCATCCCCCCAGTGCTTTCTTGCTTTCTGTCTGTCTCTGTCTCTCTCTCTCGCCTCCACCCCCACAGCGAGCTCATGAGCCCTATAGCAAAATTCTCTCAAAAAAAGCATGAAATAATTTTAAGTTTCAGAAGACTTTCACTACCTAGCAACTCTTCAAAAAGTCTATTTTTAGGATCTCTGCAGCAAAGGTTAACAGAATCAGGACAGGAAAAAAAAAATCAATAAGCATTGCTTCTTACAGAATTCACAGATGTATAAATGAGTGGGGCAGGGGAACGAGACTCTGATATCAGATGAACCAATTACTGTCTAACAGAAACAATAAAATAGGAGTAGTCAGTAAAATACACACAGACGGAAGAAACTGTGTGTGAACTGTTCATCTCTGTACAGAACTGAAATAAATCAAGAACCGCAGAGACTACCACCATTCAAGTATACAAGTCCTATAGAACACAGCAGCATTATTTGAGAAACACAGACCAATGCAAGGAAGATGAAAGCAGTGTGAAGGGTCAAGATAGCTGAACACCCGCCAAATAAATGTAGTACAAAATCTGTAAAAATGATTTGGAAGTGTAAGTAGTAACAAAAACGAACAAACAAACAAAAGATCAAAACAAAATATAACTGAATGGGGTCTGGAAATGCTTAGAGGGGCCAGCAGGGAACATAGTAGTTAAACCACTGGTAGTTTGTCCAATATCCCGAGAGGAGAATGGGGCAGAAAGGATTGCAGTGTGGCCAATCCTTTCAGTAGGGGAAGAGGTGATTTTTCTCTCTCTTTTTCTGGCAAGTGCATGTGCCCTATGGCAAAAACCTTAAAAAAAAAAGGAAAAAGAAAACAGAAATGCTTAGGATCATCTAATAATGCCCGACAAGAGTGACTTTGGTAATCAGTTTCAAAACCCTATAAAGTCAGTCATCTCATTAGAACTTCCTGAGTTTGGGTAAGTGTTATTTCCTTACTAAATAAACCCAATAAAACAACTGCTTTTCAGAAACTAATTTTTCTCTAATTATAAAACAGGAGAGAAAAAACTCACTTTAACAGAAATGAAAAAAAAAGAAGAGGGGGATCAGGGTGTGGCTGGATATTTAGGACTATGTAGAAAAGACAATTCCAAATCTGGTCTCTGATTCCTCCACATGGTCCAGAAAAACATCTTTAAAAAGTATCAAAGGCTACTACAAAACTCACAACTTTTTGACTCATTCCCTGAAATCTTATGACAGACTGAGAAAAGGTTGTGGAAAGAGATGCCCTCCCTATGATCCATTAGGAGAGAGACAGTTTATGGAATTAACCTTAGGGACGTCCAGTTACACCAACCACATCACTCCCACAAGTACTATTAACAGAACTGACTGAAGGCTGCATAAAGGCACCCATGGGAGGAAGAGAAGGCACAGGAAGGGCCTTAAATACATGCAAACATAATGGAATCTATAAGCTGGATTCTAAGTTTTCCTACTTATGAGACTTTTTCCATTAAGCCTTGGCCTACTTCAGAGGGAAAGAAAAGGGACTAAATATTATTGCTTTTCATTTCGGTAGCCTATCATTTCATTTCTACTTAAGTCAAGCACTTGGAAATTCCTAAGAAAATTTGCAATGATCATGTTAAGTGCTGCACTTTTTAAAGAAACTCTAAATTTTGTAATGTATACAGAATACAAGTTAAACCCCTAAATAACCTAAACTTGCATGTTAGGTTTAGGGTAGCATTTTTTAAGTTCACTTCTTTCAAAAGAGAGAAAACAAGAGAGAGAGAGACAAGCACCCCAACAAGGTCTGATTCCACACCTCCACCATCACTTCTCCAGCTTTCTCAGCAAGCCAGAATCACGGGCACGCGTGCCCAGTTTATACTGGTTGATAGGGGACCCGAACCCACCATCTTCCACATGTAACTAGAATCAGTTGAGCAGAACCACCAAACTGGCCGTGTGTGAGCACGTGCACGTCTGTATGTATATACATTGTCAAAAAAGTCGTGACGTGTTTTCCTATACAAAAATGCATCATGACTTTTCAGACTACCCAATATATTTTTTAAGGTTTTTGCCATAGGATACATGTGCTCATAAGGGAGGGAAGAAGAGGAAAGAAGGGAGGGAGGAGGGGAGAAGAGGAAAGGGGGAGAGGGAATGGGGAGGAAAGAGAGAGAGGGAGAAAGAGCGAGAAAAGTGAGAAATCATTCCATAAGGGGGGGAGGCCACACTACAATCTTTCGCCGTTCTTCTCTCAGGACTTTTGGGCACACATGCACACATGCCCAGTGTGATTTTCAAGCAGCCAGGTCCAGGGCTCCAACTGCAGTCAACCATGTGGGCATCCAGTGCTTTAACCACCATGCCGCCTATCACTCCAGGCCTTATGGGTATTTTAACTGTGCCACATTTATCCTAAAAGTATTTTTCATCTCTTTTCATTTTTTTCTAGATGTTTGCATGTCTTTACATATGTGTGGACAATTACATTATTTTTATAATAGATACATTAACCAATTCTGAAAAGGATTTGAGATGGCTTATAATAAAGACACAAATATAACCAAACCATAAAAATGAAAATAAAAGCTAAGCAATAAAAGCAAGAAATTTAAGATTTAAACAACAAACTGACATCTAAAGTTATAGTAATATCCAAACCAGTCTTTCTGGCAAATTCCTGGTATTCCCTTGTGACTTACTAGTTTTATTCCACAGCTCTCGCTGGTATTTGACAGGTTCATTTCTACGTTTTTCAAATTCAAATGAATTATCCTGTAAGAGGGAACAGAAGGGGGGGGGAATATGGTTTTAAGAGAGCAAGAAAGCAGTCTTTTTTTATTTTTTATTCATTTATTCATCTATTTACTTACTTTTAGTTTGACTAGCAAAAGATGGTGAGGGGGCTCTGGGGAGTGGAATGCAAGCCACCAGATCCAGTACTCTAACTATGGTTGGCCATATGGGAGTCCAGGGCCTTAACCACCATGCCACCTGCCAGCCCCAAGAGGAAGGTACCATTCTGAAAACATCCTCCTTTCACAAGAGTTCAAACTGCATATACATATTAAGATTTGCCCCAGAGTGATCCAAGAGAATACAGTTTTCAAACTTTCTCTACTTTACATATCTAAATGTACAAGAGAGCCCTACTAGAAATCTCTGCATATAGAGGTGAGTCCCAAAGGGAGATAAGAGCAGAGTTTCACCCCATCTCTCAGAAGGGCATATAACCACCATGCGGGTTACAAACTAGCTGAAAAAGCTTTCCCAATTTCCCATCCCCATGATTTTGTGTTGGGTTGAACGAAATGAAATTACCATTTTTCATAGATCAAAAAAGAATCAAACATCAAAAAATTTCATATGGTTCAACCTAAGTATTTATCAGTTATAGCAAAAAAGATAAATTATGGATCTTCAAATAAATGAGGTGCTATTCTGTAAGATAAAATTCTTCACCTTGAAACTCTTCACCTTGAAACTCTTCACATACCTCTAAAGGTTTATTCTACTTCCAGCGGTTGGTATTTTGACAGCTAATAATCCGATTAATCTTCAAACATGCAAATAATTTTGGAAAAGCTACAGGTATTCCTTGGTTTTCAAGTCTATCTGACATAGGCATATTAAAGTACTAACTTGTATTTAGCTACTTCATTTACATGCATACACCTCTTTTAAGATCCTAACAATGTCATCAGTAACAAGGCAAGCGATAACCAGCAAATGACTGTGACTGGCATGCTTTCTTCACTCACGCAGTTACCACTTGTGTATGAGGCGCTGTGCTCCTAATTCATACCAAAAACCATTTTTGTGACATTGTGATTGTCAAATAATACCCTTCATGTAAGTTATAAAGGTGTGGAGCTAAGGAAGCAAGGAAAGGGCTTCAGGGCACACACATGTAGCTCCTGCCCTTACACGGTGAGCGTGGAGAAGAGCGGGGAGGCGGGGGACAGTTTACAGACCTCTCCCTCCAGGGCAGCCTGTGCCGCAGCTTCCACCTCTTCCCCTCACCCAGATCGCACACAGACACGCCTCAGCAGGTCCTCGCATCGATTCGTTACTGGCAATCTAGTGAGGGCTACCCCATGAAATTCCCACATGCTTCCCACTGCACTTCCTCACACCGGCACTACTCACTGCTCTGACACAAAGTCCTGAGAAGGAAATCTGGAAACTGAGAGCCGGGTCTGTTACACTCATCTGAGTCCTCACTGGTGCTCAGGAATCTCTTCACCTCTTAAATTCCTTTCGAAATCCCAAGAAGCAATTTCTAACTTTGTCCCAAACCATTTAAATGATTTTCCTCTTTGTTGACTAGGATTAAAAGTAGTTTTCGAGAAAAGAACAATTACTTCTACAAAACTGGACTGGGCAGCTTCTCCGAGAAAACACCAAATGGCAGATGACACCAGTGCAGTGCCAGGGCCTAGAGGCCCCAAGGGCCCCAGGATAGGAAGCTGTGGCGGTTCCATGGAGGGTTCCACAGCGGCCTATGTGTTCGGGATTGGGGACATGGTCACGGCCGGACCGCAGTCACAGAGCTCATGGAGGCAAGGCAGGGACAGGAGTAGATTCTGGTCACAAAGCTGGGGCCGCCTGGTCAAAGACGTGAGGATCAAATCACTGAGATCTCTCTGGTCTCCCTGCCCATCAAGGAGCCTGAGATTATCGACTTTTCCCTGGGAGCCTTTCTCAAGGACGAGCTTCTGAAGATCATGCCTGAGCAGAAGCAGACTCGGGCTGGCCAGCAGACCAAGTTCAAGGCATCCGTCGCCACCGGGGACTACAATGGCCACGTTGGTTTGGGTTTTTAGTGCTCCAAGGAGGTGGCCGATGCCATCCAAGGGGCCACCATCTTGGCCAAACTCTCCATTGTCCCAGTACAGAGAGGCTACTGGGGAAGTAAGATCAGCAGACCCCACACTGTCCCTTGCAAGGTGACTGGCTGCTGTGGCTCTGTGCTAGTGCGCCTCACTCCTGCCCCCAGAGGCACTGGCATCGTCTCCACGCTGTGCCCATGAAGTACTGATGACGGTGGGTGGCACTGATGACTGCCACACCTCAGCCCGGGGCTGCACTGCCACCCTGGGCAACTTCGCCAAGGCCACCAATGCCATCTCCAAGACCTACAGCTATCTGACCCTGTCCTCTGGAAAGAGACCGTGTTCACCAAGTCTCCCTACCAGGAATTCACTGACCATCTCACCAAGACCCACACCAGATTCTGTGCAGAGACCCCAGGCTCCAGTTGTGGCCACAACATAGGGTTCTCATACAGTGATAATAAAGTTAATTAAACTGGGGGGGGGGTTGAAATTGGGTT